CAAATGAAACAAGCCAGAAAAACAGGCTAACCATCAAGAGAAGCTAGATCACCTCACCAATGAATAGAGGAAAACCAGGCATGAAGACGGGGGACAGGAAGGTCTGGATGAATCACCAGTGACTGAAGAAGGGAAGGAAACAAAGGAAAAGGTAACAGAGGAGGAAGTTGGAGCTGGAGAAACCACAGCTGAGATGGCCAAAAAGTAGCTATCAGAAGGACTGAACATGGAGTGTCAAGGATGAACAAAATCACCCAGAGAAGAAGGACTACAGAAGGATAGATAAATATGTAGGTCCAATCTTGGGTGAAACACAGATAGTCAGAGCAATAAGACAAGGAACCAGAGAGCAAAACCAAGGCAATTTGTGCTTAAGGAACGTAGCAAAAAGCCTCAATGTGAGGAGTATCCCACTGAAGCCAAAGCTCCAAAACAAAAGGCACCCCCCAGTGGCACAGCGGTATGTCTGCGGACTTACAACGCTAGAAACCGGGTTTCGATACTTGTGGTGGGCAGAGCACAGATAGCCCTTGTGTAGCTTTGTGCATAATTAAAAACAAACAAACAAAACAAAAGGATTGAGAGACCACTTCATCAGATAAATGTTGTCAGGACAGGAATCCAATCCACAACAAGAGCAAAAGCCCCCAAAACATGACATGCAATGATAGGAACATCAAGCATGTGGGCTCAAGAAGATCCCACGTATGAATACAGAGAGATGGAGAACAGGTGCCGTCCTGGTGATTGAGATAACCAACCACTGAATAAAAGTTGGAACAGATTATTACCAGATGACTTCTGGCCAAATGGAGAAAATTAACCAAAACATGACCTACAGGGAGAAGCACCAGGATATTGATACGATAAGACCTCTTGGCCACTATACTAAAACCTCAAATCTTCCAGTTGATCAACCTACGACCCCATCCCTGTATAGATGCATCTATGAAATGTGGAAAACCATACGAGGAGGAGGAAGTAGGCCACCTGCCAACGTGTGAGTCATATCTAAGCACCTACGCCAATCAAAAACAAGGGTAAGAGAAAGGGTAATAAGAGCCAACAAAGGATCTCTACAAAATTCCACTGCTCATGAAAAGCCCATGAAAAAGCCCACACATGAGCCTGACTTAAAGGGATAAGAGTTACCATGGAAGATCAGATCCCCAAAAGTGATAGAACTTTGTAAGCTGTAATCAAACTGAAAAGCCATCAAATGAAGTCAAAGGGTGTACCTGACTGAAATGTGTGAAGAAAAACACCCAAAAGGACAAGATATTGGATAGGTCACAATAAGGATTTCTCCAACTTGATTAACAGCCCATTACAGCCACCTTCAGGAGCAGTTGATAAGGGTAACAGGAAGACTCCTTTTCAGAACGAATGAGCAGTAGCCAGTTGACCAAAGAATGAAAAAGAGCAACCCAAGAGCATACAAGTGATGAACGAATGCTCTAAATGCCTGACAAAACATACAGGGCCAAAGTAAGACCAAAGGGCAGTGCACAAAACAGAGAAACCACCCCATGGAGAAAAACTGAAGAGTGGGTAGCTAGTGATGAAATATCAGGATATGCAAATAAGTATTCATGACATTCCTCTTTGTCGTCGATAAACCTGGAGAAAAAGCCCACCTAAGGGTAAGAAACGACTCCAAGGTATAACAAGGCTGATTGAAATTTAGAATTAGGCCGCCAGTCTCCAGTTTGGCACAAGGGAAACAAACAGCCTGGAATAAAAGCTTGGAGAAAGATGATGAACAGGTGCAACAGCCTGTAGAGACAGAAAATCTTGTAACACCTCAGACAAATGCAGGATGGTGGCAGGATCCCAAATAATGGGGAAAGAGAAGGGTATCAGGGACAAAGAAGGTGGGGAAAGAAATAGTAGGACAAGTTCCTCTGATAAAACCCAAAGAACCCTTGGAACTGTAGTGAAAGATTGCCAAAGGATCACAATATAATATAGTCAAACTCTCACGGAACCGGAACCCTCTGGTACTGTTGGCAATATGCCCATCAAAATTAAATAAAATGATGAGATGAGAAACCCCTGGAAGGGGAACAGGAACAACAGGATCAATAGTTCTTCAAATCTAAACAAGTTCCAGTAATTTACATTACATCACAGTCTTTCATTTCAACTAAACTCTATAAATTTACTATGTTTATCTTTATATCTGATACTTTAAAACTATTATAATGACTTTCATGTACTTTCTCATTATACCTTACATAATAAAACAATTCCAACTTTCCATTACTTTTATTCCCACGAGTACCAGAATTTACTCACAAGATCATGTACACCCACCCCTTTCCCCATTGCACTTTCACCTCTTGCTCCTTGCTCATGTCACTTACCTTGTTAATCATGGTTACAACCTTCCAATACTTCCCACAAACATTAACTTCAATGTAAAGACACTAATAATATCAACTTATGTAGTTGCTAACATCCATTACAACTTAATTCAATATTAGCATCAAATACATACTTTTCCACTGTTAATAATTTCATTTCAATCTATTTAATGCATTGTCCCATTTATTAACTTTCTCCTTTCATAGGTTATAATCTTTTCTTTACATATAATCAAACACAAAGTCCACTTTAAACAACTTTCGGTATTTGTCATAGTTCATCTGATTTACTGACATCATTCTTGTAGCCTTTACTAATTCAAACAGTTCAATTATCTTGACATTACCCTTAACATATTATCCACCTTTTTCACCAATTTAAATTAGTTCATTTTGCTTAATCTTTCTCTTAATAATGTTTTGCTTAATTTCTTTCACCACTTTAAACCTGTTCACCTTTCTTAACCTTTCTCTACTAACAGTTTGTTCACTTTTTTTTGTTACTAAGTTAACCAGCCCACCATTCTTGTTACTTAGTTAACCTTTCTTATTCATTCTTATCTTTAATCCAAAATTTATAAAGATACAGTTAGCATGAATCACTACAAGAGCACATTACTAAATTGGAACAAACTTAACCATTCTATGCTGAAAGCTTTGGTCATAAACATGTACATACACCTTTCCTTCACCTGCAAGTTTCACACCTCAATAGACACTTGTTACTTAACACTATACAGGGAAAATGGCTCAATACTTTCAGAGAGAATCAACAATAACATACATGGTTTCCTACCTCTCCAAGCCACTTCTGTGAATTGCTCTAAGATCATGCATTAGATCCACACATGAATGACACAAGCTACTGTTTAGCCTCATGGACCCCCTTTTGGTAATGCACACCCCATAAGATAAACCAAACTGACTACCATAATGGCATAAAAGAGAGCAATGCAAAAAACTAACCCAATAAAGAAAATAAAAGATGAAACTTTCTTTCTACCCATAATCACGTGCTTCAAACTTGACCATGTAAAGAGATGTTCAATATGACAACTATTTCACACACTGCTAACATGTATAGGGGAAATCATTATAAAAGATGGTAAACAACCCATAATTACATACATGTAAATAAGGATAATTACACAAACACTGAACTATTACTTAACTTGTTATGCTAAAAGTCTCCTTACCCTGAAAATTATCCAACCAGCTTACCTATTCCTCTAAACATATCCCTGATAATCTTTCACCGATGCCTTGAATCCTGCTAAGTAATCCATTCCTTCATCTAGCACAAAGGAACACTCTTGAAGGGGCCACATCTATTTCAATCTCTAAACTTCTGAAATTCTTATTTTACTTTGAACAGCTCTTCTGATTTACAATTTCCAACATCATTCACTCCTACATATACTTCAAAAATGTAATGTTCCTTGGTACCAGCAACTAAAATATCAACACAGTCTAGTATCCTGTACTTTATCACCTGATAAGCAAGTTATAGTTCTAACACTTCTATGCTCCCCAATCTTTATCAGTACACTTAATGAGAGAGTTCCCCTCTATGTAAAACTTTTGATAATCTTTTTCTTCATTTCAAGCAGCCAAAGGTACAAATCTTTATCATACTGCTATTTGAATAATAACTGAACCTATATTTATAGCCTTAACTTATTTACTACTATGTATCCTTGTAAATCAAGCACACTCATTCTCACATCTTCACAAAACAACCTCTACCATAACTCTGTCCATTTACTATCTTACTTCCCTCTCCAAAGCTATCTCTAACTTATCATCACTTAGACAAGCACTGCAACTGAAGTGCACTGTATCATCTTTCTATTCTTTAACTGGGCACAGTAGCTATTTCTCAGGCTCCTCATAATTGGCAGTAGTGAAGGTCAGCCCTTTACAATAGTTTAAAAGGGAAACCAATGACTTGCTGAAAAGTAAAGGGTGGGTTTAATTTGCTTTCCTTTTTTTTTCATGGGGAGAGTATACAGGGGCAGTCTTGAAGGGTCAAATGGTCCCTTATTGTCTTTATAAATTATATTGTTATTAGGTTTAAAAACATAATTTACCAATCTACTGAACAGCATATATATATATATATATATATATGTAATACATTTTGTTTTATAGGAGGTCATGGTTAGTTTCTACTTTGAAAACAAGCATAAATGTAAATCAACATTTTAAAAGGATATACATCACATGCTTTAAACTTGTAGAAAAATGAATAAAAATTTAAAGTTAATCAATGCAGTATAATTACTGCTATGATTAAAAATAATAAAATTAATTCAATAACTGAATAAACAGTACATGAAGAGAAGTGTATAGAATATACAGTGAAAGGTATGTCCTTATAACAAAAAACAACTAAATTGTATACACAGTTTGTCTTAAATAGCAAGTAAAAAAAGCTAAAAACAACTTTCTGATTATATAAACGTACAAATTATAATGGTTAATACCACTACTGGTAATACATATTTTACACATTAAGGCTTTATATCATGGCACACCAAGTTCCTGGTACGCCAGTAATTGAGTAAAGATCCTGGGTGCACACACTTTTGGAAACACCTCAACATGAAAAAAAATATAAAACTAAAAAGTCACCTGCACTGATACTTCACGTAAGCTTGTTTCTCCACGTCCTGAAGGCGATAACATCCCAGCAATATTAATCAATAAATCTAGTTTACTGTTATACTTTTCTTTGATGTACACAGCTGCGTGCTTAATGTCATCTTCATTTGTTACATCTATTCGAAGTAAATCAACATTGTTTACTTGATTAGATAGTGCTTGAAGGTTGACGGCATTATCAGGATCTCTACACGATGCAATAACAAATGCATTAGGTTTCTTTGCTAAGTCTTTAGCGAAATGTAATCCAATGCCACGGCTAGCGCCTTGTACAAATGCTACAACCTTATTCATTTTTCTTCTTAGACAAATGTAAAAACATTCAGCTTAGACGTATGGTAAATCAGTGATTCTTCTTTTTTTCTTTCAATTCAAGACAAGATCTGTCAAGTTTATCTTAATGTTTGAGGTCACTAATCCACAGCCTAGAAAACTCTAAGCTCCTGCCGTTGTTGTTCACTAACCTCCCGTTCTTGTTACTGCGTATATCATGATTTGCAACTGCTGAATTTACTGTCCAAACATGTCTCACTCTCTAAAAACACAACTTTAAAGTTTCAAACTTCTTGTACAGGACTAAACCTCATTGTAAAAATTAATAATAGTACGATGAAAACACGTCATACTACCAAAAATAGAAAGTCTAAACTACCGATCATTATACAAATTACGTTTTTTAATTAGTAAAAACACAATTTTGGAATTGGGCTTACAAAACACTGATCTACTAAAAGTAAGATCGTTGATCATATCTTATTCTTCATCTTAGTGCAAGAGGAAATAACTTCGTCATAATATTAGAAATTTCTAAACACACACGCACATAATGAAGTTAGACATATAACTAAATAGAGGCATATGCTTAAAAATATTGTTACCTCTCCGTTCGTTAATTGATTTTCCGTAACTTCGTTCTGACGAAACTTTAGCGACACAAGTCCTTACTTAATAAAACTGGTTTATTCTTTCCGAATATAACTTTACGATACACTTAATTTCAACAATCGCGCTAAAACAAACGCTATAACAACGAGCGTGCTCAATAATACTATCTGACTGCCGATCAATTACTCGCTGTCTACACACACATTATTCTGCCGTCACGTTGTCACCCTCTTACATATGCCAGACTACCCTATATCTAGTAATCTCCCGACAATTCCCGAAG